GGGTCTTCAAGAGGAGGTTAGATAAGCATCTAGCTGGGGTCATCTAGACCCAGAACTCTTTCCTGCTTATGCAGGGGGTCGGACTCGATGTTCTATTGAGGTCCCTTCCGACCCTAACGTCTATGAATCTATGAATCCCCATGCTGTCCAGAACTGCTAAAATGAGACTGACCTGTTCACACCTGGTTTATATGGGGCTTCCACAACTGCTAGATTAATGATTGGAAGTTGCTATAAAAAAAAACAACCCTCAGTGTATACCAAGCTACTGTGGACATCACTGGCATTAAGAGGCTATTCTACATTCTGAGTGGGCAAATAAGCGATTTTTCTGATGCATTAAAAAATGGTCTATTGGCTGTGATTCTATATGACACCTATAAGAATAAGAGAAGTCAAATCCCAACCATCTATAGCAACATACAAATTAAAACAACTAGTTTGCTGTTATGCTACCAAGATCAAAGATTAAGAAGTATCATGTGAATTTTTATGCTTTTGAAACAGCAGTCTCTCTCCTACAGAAAATAGATGCCAATATGTTTGTATTTACAGCCTGAAATCAGAAAAAGGAAACAATAGGAATGTTAATAAATCTACTACAAATATTTGGTGGTGTACTTTCATTTATGATTTTAAATCAGTCTGCTAATGTTTGGTTCTACATGCCCGCATTCTGTTAGCCTTGTCTAAGAATTGTCTATCCAGGGAAGTAAGCAGGCAGTGAGCCTGAGTTTGAAATGTGCATTAAAGTTGTCTGTGATGGGTAGGAGTGTTGCGAAGCTCTTTATTCCACTTTGAAAATGGAGTACGCTTCCATACCTTCCCCCCCCCCCATGCATTAAATTGTACTTCGCGTGGTACAATTTATTTCTTTATCTTAGTAGTGAAACACTTCTTCAACATCTTATTCCAGCAGCTTATGCTATGAATGTACATATCTCAACCTTACCCCAGAAAACTGGAGTTCAGTCTGTGGCATGATCACTACCTGTTAGCCTGTGAAGCAAATGCCTTGCAAAAATAATGTCAAAGGTGAGTGACAATTTTCCCTAAATATTGTTTTACAGATTCTGGTTCTTTATTGAGTAGAAATGTTGACAGAAGAAATGCTCAGAGGGCAAGGCTCTCCCAGACTGTGTATGTGAGGACTTGATCAGCTGGAGGTGAAAGATTTTGCCTAGCTGGCATAACAGCTGGCATGCCGGAAGCAGTGAAGGTCTATGTGTAGTTTAGGTGCTAGCATACAGTATTCCACCTTGATAGAGGCAGCTGACCCGCAGTGACTTTGAGCTGCACCCTGAAAGTAAAAATGAGCATGGCAGGGAAATACATGTGGCTTGTGCTGCAGGTTAGGTCTTCCATTTAGGTAGTGGGAAGCCCAGCTGTGGAGGCTTTAGGTGTAAATGTGAACAGCTGTTGCTTTTTGTGTTGAAGAGTACTTTGAGTGGGAAGGATGAGACATCTAGCAAATCATCTATTTCTCTTTCACTGCCAGAGGAGTTACAGCTGTTGCTGCCCCCCCCCGCCTCACCCCCAACACACATACAGCCAACATCAGAAGAGTGGAGGTATGGGAAGGAGAGACAGATTTTAAAAGACTTCAAGTGGGGATGCAGTAGGGAAGCAGATTAAGATTTAAGCAAAGGAGCTAGAGGGGAAGAGGAGGCAGAGAAGGAAATGCCTTTTTTGAGGGGGGAAAAAGTGGCTACAGAAGGAGAAAGAGCTGGCAATTACTGCCATGTTAAAACTTTTACTATGGAGGAGAGAGGCACATACCTAAATAAGCCTTCAGGAAGGTGATTATTTAAAGGGTTGCAGAAGGTGGTGTCTTGTGCCTGTCCAAATGAAAGGCAGACTTTGAGGAAGCTGTTCTAACCTCCCTTTCTCCATGATCCTCTCAGCTTCCCCTACCCCCATCCCTAACATCCTGCAGCACCTGCAGGTGCCCAGCCAACTGCCAGGGACCCTGCTCCCTGCTGGGCTGCAGTCTGCCTGCAGCTGTGCTCCCGTGAATTGCAGCCCTGTGGTGTTCTTTCTGCTTCCCTAGCCTTGCCTTTTCCTCACCACAGTGCCCAGCATGCCCCCAGGGCACAGCAGTCAGGAAACTATTTTCTTCTTCTGCCTAACAGAGGAGAATACTCATTTCTAGTCCTCTCCCCAGGTGCCTTGCCATGATGAGGAAGCACTGTATGGTGCTCCTTTCATCCCTTATATATCCCCTGCCTTTTAACAAAGTGTTGAGTTGTTGGTGGGAAGGCTCAAGACTAAGTCAAGCTGAGCTGCTTTCTCTCCTTTCTGCAGGGTTTTTGGTTGTTGCTGCGTTGGTCTAAGGACACAAGTAGGCAAAGTTCTTTAGGCAGATGTGATCTCTTTTATTTTCTCTCTTAATTGAGTAGTTGGAAAAAAGTTCTTTGCAAGCTTTTGGACACATGCACCATTCCTCAGGCATAGGGAGTCTCTGCTGTTGTTCTAAGAAATTCTCTCCTTTCTTGGGTTCACCAGCTACAGTTCTCCAACCTCCCTTTTGGTTACTCCTCTTCTGCTGTAACCATTGCATTTCAGAGGCACATGGGGTCCAGGTATCTGGGAGAGTTCATGCAGTATTTTGGGCTTGTCTAGGTGCCTCTCCAACCCCAGTCTACAGGAGGCAGGATGCACATATTGAGGTGCCATGGGAACCAATTAGGGCTAGAAACTGGTTGAAAAGAGACCATTTGGAAAGGGAAAGATGTCTGTTCGCTGAGTAACTGAACATTTATATCATTTCTTTTACAAGAGATAAAAACAATATATATTAATATTATTTTTGTTCCTATTGAGCCAAATATTGATGGTCTTTATTAAGGCAAACTCTCATTGACTTCAGTGAATATTTAACTGAATATGATTGACCCGTGGCCTTATGGATTAAGAATCAAAGAACTCAGATACTGATTTGAATGGATTCATGCACACTTGAATTCTATTAAAGGATTTATCTAATTCGTTAAAAAATATATATATATACCCCACTAGGTGTGGGTATATATACGTTTAACACACAATCAAGACCTTTAGCCAGTCAGGAGACGGAAATACATATGCTATAAGTATACTGCCCTTCAGGCTCTGATTGGCTGTGATAAAATAACATTGTGGAAAGCTTAATATAGGAGTTGTGACCACAGGAAACAACCATTCATAAATCCTTTCCAGACTGACATGCTTTTATATCCATATGTAGCAAACAATTCCTAGAAAGAAAAGAATTCTGGACTTGCACGTCATAGCCTTCCTGTGGAGCAAACCATGCAGTTTCTAAATTTTATCATCAATACAAAGCACATGCTACTTGGTATGTACCTATAGATTGGGTAGGCTGAATACATTATTGTTAAGGTCACATTGAGATATTTTAATGCTTATTCACCGTTTCTTGCTTATTTATAACTTACTTATATTTTAAAGTATTTCTTCGCATACTAATTTACTTCTTGATACCGGCATCATGCTACAGTAATATCTACAGTAATGATTGAAATGTGTGATATAGATTCAAAATGCATTCTTTTTTGTGGAGTTGTGAAGCTGATATACATTATTCACAGAGAAATTTCCATTACATGTATAGTACTTGACATTTAAGATTAAACGTTTAGTATTTGCAGTGCCCTCTGCTGGCTTTTTTATTTTTTATATAAACATAATGGATCACTGCATCCTACATGTACTTGGCTTGGTGTTGGAAGAGGCAGAGTATTGTCCATCTTAATTCATCTTTTTTTTCATCTTTAGTCATATGAAGTGATATTACTATTGATATTTCCAGCAATTTCCCCCCAAATATGTCCAAGCACACACAATATATTATAACCTGTTCTGCTTGGACTTGGGAAGCACAGTGATTTACAAAATAGTTTTTATTTGCCAGCAGGCATGCACACTCTGAACACCACTCATTCTAGATCTTCTATGATGTACTTACAGTTCAAATTTTTGCTTAGGTTATATTTAGAAATAATCCCTTTTTTGGGGTACAAAAAATGCTAAAGACTAATTTTCTTTTTATATACAGGAAAATCTCACTGAAAGATGGGAGAGAGAAGAAATCCTTTCCTCCTGAGCATGTAATGTGAAACTGCTAAGGTAATGCCCATTAGTATATACAAATAACATCCTGATGAAATAAAAATTTAAGGAAGTCAATATCTGTTTCCATCACTGCTTGTTTTACTAAAACTGTTTGTAATATATTTTGGGATCTTGACTTTTTTAAATATTGAGAAGAAAGGGAGAAAATATGTCAAGATATGTTTAGGGAAACACAGGTGAAGTGTTTATTCCTGTAAGTAATACTATTTCACTGGCAGTAGTAAGCCATGTGTGATAGGTATTTTTAGAACTGGACTTTATTTCATGTGTTTCATATTTTTTTGTAAATATTCAGAACTGAACTAATATTTGCCTTATTCATCCTGGCAAACAGTTACAAAACTACTCCCACCTCTGTGGCAACTTAACAGCCAGTCCCACTTCAACCTTTCCTTTTATGTACATGTTGGCGGTACCGTGAGTAAGTGTACTCTGACATGGACAAAGCTTACAACAGCTGATTCTTAATAGTTGATTGTTTGTTTTTGAGCAATTCAGCTTCTGTACAAATATGCAGCTTTTAATTAATTTCCAAAGCACACTGAGCAACATTTAAGATAAAATGCAAACAATTCTAGACTTGTTTTAAATAATTTGTGCCCAGGCACTTTTCAGACTGGGTTATATATTGTGTTTCAACAAATTTATGGTGCATCCATTTAATTTTGTACATGGAAGGCTACCAGATGAAGCTTTATTGTTCTGTTCAAGTGTTGCATGTGTCATATCTAAAATCACTGAGAGTATAAATGTGGAAATGTTAAATCTTTTGTTAATGGCTTCGTATTAAGTACACGTGGTTGCAGATGATTTGGAGGACTTATTTAAAGTAAATATACAATTTCAAGCTCAATTATCATTTATAGCTTAACTAAACATAATGAGATATTAGTGCTGTGAATTTGATACAGTGTTACTTCATAATTATGATGCTTTTCTACAGTAAATTTGATACAGAACAGTTGTTAAAGCAAGGCTGCTCAATTGTGTGACCAAAGATTTTATGGAACACATCTGGCAAATTAGTTCAGGATGCGTACCGTGTAGGAACAGAATCTTTTGCACAAAACCTAGAAGGAAGCTAATTCTAGATGTATATGTGTTTCATTGATGACCAGAAGTTAAATGAATATAATTGTTTAAGCTAATGGAAATAGTATTTAGAATAACATTTCAGAATAGCTAAAAAGGAAATGAAGGATAATTGCTGTTTAAAATCTCAAATGAACAGTTTACACCTGTTAGTATGTTATGTTTAGAACAGCTGTGTCTTTTATTATCAGTAAACAGATGCAGAAAGTAATGGAATGTTTAAAAGCAATATGTTAATCCTATCTTCCACTACTGAACAGTCTCACAAGATAGTAGTTAAATATTAACTGTATTGCTGCTGTTGTTTACAATTATACAATTTGTGGTTATATTTTGTCTGAAGATGAATATATTTGAAGCTCTAAAATATTTATCCGAAGTTATTTTAGCATGTGACACTTTGAGAGCTCACTCTTGTAAACAGTGTCACACTGTAATATGTTTATTCAGAAGTCTAGTTGCTTAAACAATTCATGTAAATTCTTGAGGATCTTGAATTAGTTTTTCCTCAATGGACTTTATCTATACACTTTAAAGTGTACTTGTTTTTTTATACAAATCTACAGTTGTGAGAGAAAAATACTACATTTGAGAGGCCAAACTCTGCAAACTTTCTTTGAGCAAACTCGTTTTGAAAACAAAGTATCCTCAATAGAATTTATCCAGATCTTGTTCAATCCGGCCTAAAATTTCACATTATTACCTTTGATCATATTACAATAATTCTAGCAAGTTTGTCTCAAATTTCTTGTATCTCCTGAATAATTCTGGATCTCAATATCATAATTCAGTAAATTTTTCGTAATTTATGATAACTATATTACTGATATACTAAAATGTGGCTTTATTTTGACTGCTGTATCATATCAGTCTCTTGGAAAAGTAAGATCTTCAAACTGGTATTTGCCTTTTTAAAACTGTATTTGCCATATTACAAAATGTTTTAGAGATGCCTATAAGAATCAAACTGGAGCTCAATTTAAATTTAAGAATTATATATCAAATGCTAGTGTGTTTTCACATGAAAACATCACCTTTAAAGACGCCTTCATTTACATAAATTTGGAATATTTGTAAACATTTTTAACATTATAAAAAAGTTTTAATGAAATATCATGCAATTGTGGAACATTACCGAATCAGCAGTCAAAGAACGGAAACACAGTGGATTAATAGCATAATTTTCTTAGCAGATTAGCTTCCAGGAAACGTAGAGACCAATGAATATGGCAGCTGCGTTATTCAAATATTGTATTCAAGCTGAGGTCAAATTGTTCATTCATGCATGTAGAAGCTCGGCATTAATTGAATCGCTGCATTTTTAGAACACTTCTGAGGTCAGGAATTTTTCATGCTTCAACATTTTTAAATGTATATATATATACACACACACACACATACACATTAATTAATTAAGATTGTCCTGAGGCATCGGCATTGTTCTGATTACAGTGTAATATGCTTAATATGTTAGGCATTCATACAGGTTTACTGATTTGTCTGCCAAATCATTACAATGTTAATGGCAACTACAGATTAAAAAACTGGATCTACATATGCATATGCATATTAATATCCTGGCAACCCATTACTGGGGGATTGTGAAAGGCCAAGTCAGGTAAAATTCACTCTTCTGACTGAAAGAAAGGCACTATATCTGTCTAGTTCTGTTTTTTAACCTGGATAATATTTATATTGGATCAACTGAAAGGTAGTCTTGATATGACATGGTACGAGATGAATGATCTCAAAAGTATTTGTCCTCATAGTTGTCTGTCTCTGCCATTTTCAAGTTGATCACTGACTTTATAGTTTTAGGCACTATCATTTCACAAGAGAATTTAAAGTCCATATTTAGAGATAATCATTTACTGAATTTTATTAAGTATCTCTGATTTCAAGATATTTATTTTCAGCATAGGAAGTAAGTGACTGTATCTCCAGTAATGGATCCTGGATGTGATTACTGTTAAATTCCTCATTTAGCAATACATCCAATATTTTAAATTATCTCAAAGCATTTTCATCAATGCACTATTTGAATTTTACTCTTCTGTAAGTAAAACAGTCATCTTCATATTGTCAGAGACCTGAGACTTTATGAGTTTTTTGGCTTGTTTCTTGATAAAATTTTAAATAAGTCAGTTTTACTCTCCTGTGTTGATTTTTTTGTTTTCTATTGCTAAATGAGGAAATGTTTTGATCCCAAAAGTTAAGTTAGGCCTAAGCATAAAAAGAAGATATGTATCACATAGGCCCTTGGCAGACGTTCAGTTAAAGGTGCAATGGGCTCTGATAAGTGATTCCAACAGTCACACCTCCTGCTATGCTACACATGCTGCTACATCATGATGCTGGGCTCCCTCTGCACTAGCAAGTAACAAGCCAGTTAGCTGATCTGCACTCCTGGTCTTGGGGTCACATGGGAGCCCTTGATTCAGATGTGCCTTGAGGCTGGGAGACCCAATCAGATGCTGCTTCTAGCTTCTGGAGCCTTTGGAGTCGAGGACTCCCATGTGCCCCTGTGGTTGGGAGCCCTAGTTAGTTGATCACTGGCCATGCATTCAGTTTAAGGTAAAATGAGAGCCAGCCACAATTACACATATCTTGTTTAATAACTTTGTGGAGTATGCCTTGTTTAATCGCACCATTAATTGCATTAACATGTAGCCAGGCTACTACTTAATAAGTGATTAACTGGTTAATGACACCCAAAGTGTAATGTCTGCCAGGGACCATAGTACCCTTATACGATTAATGCGGTTACAGGTTTTTTTTTTTACAAAATGCAGGAAATATTAGGGGATTGATCAACCAATTCTGTCTCTGGATGTAAATAGAGTTTTTAATCTAACATTTTTAAAACTCAAAAATAAAATAAAATATTTGAAAATGAAAAATATAAATGAGTAATTGTGATTTCTTCATATTATGAGCCATATTTTTAAAACACTAACTCTAGAATTACACAAAGTAATAACAGATGAACCATTTTGTGCCCATCATTGTGCATCCAGAAAAAAATTATTTAGCCCACAAGTCACGTGAAGGTTTGATTATAGGCAGGATTCATGTTCTCATAGTGTGCATTTAAACTTATGTGGGATAGTGCCTGCCCCAGGAAGGATACGAGTATCTAGCTTACCCATAGAATCATTGGAGAGACTTCAGAGATGCTGAAGAGCAATTCAGATACATTGAAAAGAAATTGAAATCTAAGTGCACAGTGGACAGGGAGTGGTAAATGTCTCCAGACACACACATAACTATTCCAATAAAGCCTTCTCCAAAGATTTGTACTGTAATAGCAAATATGCAATGGCCAAGGACAATATTGTATGACTTCTCAAAAAACTAGAAGATTGAAACCACTATCAATGGTCCAAAAGCAAGGGAAGACAATCTCTACTGAAAACATTTCACCTTTTACCTCAAAATCCTGAATGTAGTAATCTTGCATAATGATCTTCATTCTGTAGTACAATGATCCTGTTACTAAATGATTCTATGTCTGAGTACATTTTTGGAGATACTTAAGAATAGATGAAGTTTTAATGGCAAGATATCTGCTTCAAAAATGTACAAATAACATATACTGTAAGGCTTAAGGCTGCCAATTTCTGTTAAGTCTGTCCTGCAATAATTCAGAAATTCTGTATTTTGTCTTTTGTCAATTTATAGCTGCACAGAAAACTGTAGTCTTCATTATTAGCTTGTAACATACTGATTAATACAGGATAAATGCATTAATCATATTTATTATTATCTACAAATAACATTTAAAATCTGACACATTTCTGTGTGTAAATTAAAAATGTTTTAGTTTAGTTTGAGAACAATAACTGGCTATAGGCTAAGAAGATGTTCTGATCTAAAAGTGCCTTCAACTTCAGCTGGTATCTACTTGAAAATACCCAGAAAAGGATTCTGCCTTACAAGTTTCCAGTTCATTAAGTAGAAATCTGTTGAACAGCTGTTTTTCGTGAACTTTCAGGTGCATGTGAAGCAGACCTAGAAAACACCCTCTTTCCATCGCAGAACTACAAGGATGAGTATTTGTGTCCATACTTTAGCCCCAGGTCTCTCCTAAGATTTAGAGGTTTAAATTGAATGTCCCAATTTTTATCTGTTTCTGATAATGACTATTCATTGCTCTGTCATATATGGTAAATTGAATGTAATGCCTATTATTAAAAAAATAGTACTTCACATTTATAGCCATTTTAATCTAAGATTCTTGAAGTACTTCATAGTACAAATATGTTTTTTACATTGCACAGAAATCATACAGTACAGAATTTTGATCACTTTCCTATTTTTCATGTAGGGAAAATGAAAACTAGAGGTGGTGGGTAGGGGGGGGACTAACCTTCCCATTGCCAGGACTTTGCTTTAGCCACTCGGCTCATGTTAAATGTAGTGAATTGCAGATGCAATGCTGTCTTCCTAGTAATAATTAACCAAAAGTGTGCAATTACATATATTACACTGCTTTAGATTATTTAAGTTTCTTCACTTTTTAGTTATGCTTTTCTTTTACATTCTGAAAACATTGCCACTTTGTAATTTGCTATATACACATGTAGGTAGAGTAAGAAACACGTGCATTGAAATATTAATTAGTGATATACTGATAATACGCACTAATAAATTTCAGGGTACTAAGAGGCTTATTTCATGATTGTTTTTATCAGTTAGAAGTAGAATTTTTAAAAGGGATAAAGGAAACTAAAATTTAGTTTACTATATAAGGAAAGACTTTAATTTATGAAAATTTGTTGCAGGCTGTGTTATCAAGTGACATGTTGATTATCAACCTAAGTCTCTCAATTGTAGTTCAAAAATCCAGAGCAAGTATTTGGCATAGCACAGTTTGTTGTAAGGAAGATTTAATAGCTTGTTATGTCCTATTTATATAAACAAGAGTCATTTAGAGTTCAGGAGATATATTTAGAATGTGCATTTGTGCATGGAGTTGCAGGCTGAATAAAGTAATACTTGAAAAACTTCCTATAAAATGGAGAACAAGAAGTAAAATTTGTCATATAATATTAATGGTATATATCAGAAGCCTCTTGAAAGTGAACTAATCCAGCCAAAGCATTAGGATAGAAGTTGTTACCAGTTTATAAGAATGCAACCAATATTTTTCTGTTATTGAAGTTAAAATGTTACAAAGTACTCGTAAGAAGGCACAGTGATTGATGAGTACTGGCATGCCTGGTAGGGCTGATCTTGTGCTTTTGGGCCTGTAGTCTTCACAGAGAGCTTCCCTCTAAAACAGTGTACAATCAGGCCAGATGAAAGAACAGCTTAAAGTTCTAAGCTCTTCTATGCTACGTGCTGTGTTGGGTCAGAATATTAATAGGAGTTTACAGTGAGTGATTTGTAATCTGACTTGTGATTTGTTGACTTTAAGGTATGCATCATATCTGAAAAATGTATGCTAAGTCAGTTTAAGATATAAATTTTATAGCATATGGTAAATTAAAACCATGGTGACCTTTTGGTCTTGTTGATCACATGTATGAAGATGATCATCTGTTAATCTATACTAATCACTCTGATATGACTGTTGCGTAAAAGATAGGAAAATAGTGCTATTTCTGCTATATTTACTCTTCTGCAGTTTCCTTAAAAATGTTTACAATTAAAACTTTTAGCAGCAAACTTAATATATACTTTATGTGCTCTGTTATGGAAGTAGGTGTAGTAAGACTGTTTTCTTATCAAAGCAAATTTTATTAAGTGGTCTGGTTATGTAGAGAGGTGTCCATACTAATTGCTGGCCACAGCCAACCTGATATCAAATAATTTCTCAGAATTTCTGACAAAAGTCTTTAGCATGATTTATGCTATGATTGACTCTTTTTATTTGGCTCTTCCAAATAAAAAGAAACAAAAAATGTTGCCTTGTTCTCCCATGAGAGAGATGTATGCAATTATAATGCTTTTCATTTACCATGTTTAGCATTATTAATTCAGAAGTCTCAAAACTTGATTAGTCTTTATACCCAGAAATGAATATTACACCCATTTGACAAGTGCTTTAACAGAGGGTCATAGAAATAAGCAAAGTCTTAAAGCAGGTTAGTCCTGAAAAATAGCTTCTCTCTCTAGACACAGCCTTTCAGAAATCTTAAATTGCTATTACTAGTAACAGAAGTTAAACAAAACAAAACTGCGAAGTGACAAAGAATGAGTGTGAATGTATTTACACATCCAGTGCATCACTAATATGTTTGCTAAAAGTTGCTTTTGTCCACTTCCTACTTCCCTCTTCAGAGTGATGCAAGCAGCGTTGGTGCTGTGCAGGTGGACGTTACCCCATATTCTTTGTTCAGTTTCCTCTATCATATCAGTAACATATCAATACACACAAGGTTCCCTATGTTTTCAGATTATGTGCTGCAACCAGCATGAAAGTCATATAAAACAACCCAGAAAAACTACTGTATTCATACAGTATTTCCATATACAAATGCCTCTGTTGATGCATTACTTTTCTAAGATTTTGCTGAGTAAAGTTATTTCCATACATAAGCATTTTGGCCATCTGCAACTGTCAGTGAATCTGGTTTGAGAACACTGGTAGTAATTGTAAACTTAGGAATGTGTGACCAGCTAGCAGCCAGCTGTGCATGCCCTGACTTTTTCCAGGTGCTAAGATATATGGGCACTTTTGTGGACTTTTAACAAATATATACTTTGGAAAGTATTATATTAAGCCCATTTTCAGAATGAAGTTTTGTTCATAAATATGGTATAAATGTGGATAAAATAGAAAAAATAGCCAAACTTTGTCATGTAGTTTAATTATTAATACATGACACGGAATGTAGACCTCATCTTACATACGGCCTGTGACGAGGAGAAATTCAGTATCCTCTATGTTCCTGAAAGCTTGGAACAGCAAATTTAATCTACCAGTAAAACTGTGTATTTCAGTACCTGCTACATGTTTGGACTGCACAAGTATCTATAGGTCAGAAAGTCTCTTCAACTAGACAGAATTAGCAGCAAATTTTACTAATCAGCTGCACCTCATTAATTTATTCAGGCACAGTGAGTATCCTTGCTAGCTTTCTTCTTCACAATAGGGGAAGACCTAAAAGAACCAAAAGAAGATATGACAATCCTTCTGGTTCTAATACAGAGATGTCCATAAGGTTTATTTGCCTCAGTAGACACATTTATGACGTATTGTCTGTGAGGCCAGCTGGTTCCAAATTAAATGAACACAAGATCACAAACAGGAAAAAAGTTAATAAGCATGATCACTTGTCTAAGGTAATTTGATTTCATAGGTGATTAAAATATCTAAAAATCCTTCCCTTCAAGAAGTATATTACTCTTACCTTGCTGGTTTCTATTATAAAAAATAATAATAGCTAATCATTGGGGATCTGAGTTTTCCATTTCCCATGGAAAAATGGAAAAAAACCACGGATTTTTCCTTTTACCTAAGAAAAATGTGGATTTTTCATTTTAACAGAGAAACACGTGGATTTTGCTCTTTTGCAAATAGCTCTTAGCAGGCTGGCAGAGTTACAGCCTGCAAGGGGCTGGGGGGTGTGGGAGGAAGGTGGTCAGACAGGGGCACAGTGTACATGTACATGCACATGGCTGCCAGACAGCATGGAGAGCAGATTCTGCAAGTAATCTGATGTGGGGCAGGGGAAGAAATTAAGCCTCCATACGGACGGAGTTGGGCAGGACTAGGGCTGGGATTGCTGCCCAGCTGGGCAGTGCATGGGGCTTGGGGCCCAGGGCCGGCCACAATGCACAGCCACAGGGCTCCACAGCCCAAGCCTGCAGTCTGTATTACCTGGTCCCATTCCCTTTTCCCTAACAAACTTCTCAAGTTCACAGAAACAATTTTTAGACTCTTCGTTGTGTAGTTAAATTTGGGGGTGTAGGTGTAGGGGGGTGTTTGGGGGGGACAGGGCTGTGGGCAGCTCATCCAGGGAGGGGAGGGGGGCGGCTTATCAACACTGTGCACTCCCAGGGTGGGGCGAAGGGCACATGCCCCCCAGATCTGTGCACAGGACAGGGGCAGGCTGCCTGCTGCAGGCTCAGGCTCCCTACCTTCCCAGGGCCTCCATAGCCTAGCGGACAGGACTCAGCATGCCAGGGCACAGTGGGACTGGGTTGGGAAGCTCCTTGCCCCACACTGCCCTGTTGACATGGCCCCTGCCTGCCCCAGTGTAGTGAGGGGCACAACCCCGCACCACCACCCAGCTGCTCCGGAGAGGCCACGGGGGGTGTAGCCAGGGCAGTGCGGGGCTTGCAGTGGTGGCAAGGAGCTTTCCCCACTCTGCCCAACCATGCCAGGTCTCTCCTGTCGGACCTCAGAGGCTGCA